GAGAGAGAGAGAGAGAGAGAGAGAGAGAGAGAGAGAGAGAGAGAGAGAGAGAGAGAGAGAGAGAGAGAGAGAGAGAGAGAGAGAGATCATCTACTCCGTCCTCGAAGTTTTCGTCCTGCTCGTAACCATTGGGTACATCCTGGAGGCAATATTGTGTCTAGATGCAGGGGTCTGGGTTCTTCTAAATGTCTGTTTCACACGAGTGCATTGGCTGCTCACACCACTAGATATCTGTTTCATCATCTTTTTTATGATCGCTGTGGCTCCTTTTCTTTTTTTTTCCCCACAAACAATTGCTCCTTTCTATACGTGGGAGCTGCTCACACCACTAGATATCTGTTTCATCATCTTTTTGATGATCGCTGTGGGTCCTTTTCTTTTTGTTTCCCATAAACAAATGCTCCTTTCTACACGTGGGGAGCTCCACACGTTGGGAGCCGAGCCCAACGTCCCTTCTAATATCAATTTGAGGCCGGGGTACCCGGAGGTCTGGGAGCATTACCCAGTTCGGGTCGAGGGGACCAACCCCCTGAAAAGCACAAGACTGTCATTGCATGACACTTTACTTCAGTAACTCAGACCTATGCGGTTGCGTGAGTATTCGATGCGCTGGCCCTAACGCGCACCAGTGGAAAACAGTGGCACACACTCCTAACACCACCTCCCACAAAGTACTGCCCTCCCACTGAGGAGAAAAACCAAGCGCCCAGGTATTTACTCCTCAGTCATCAACCATTCATCCAACAACAACTTCCCGTCCTGAACCTTCGTCAACCTCCCTTAAATCAAGTTTCCAGAAACCACAGGAGGCCGTTGGTGGTGTGACTCGTTTGATGTGCACCTGGGTTAAGTTTAGTCTGTCGTAAAAGAAAGGGAAAAAAAAAGGTTTAGTCCGTCTGAGTACACTGAGCCATGGATGTTGCCGTTTGGTGAAGTGTCCCACAAGGGCCTTCCCTTTTTTTTTTTTTGTTTCTTATAGAGGCGCTGTTTAAAACTGTGCACTGTGCAAGTACTGTAGCAATGATAGTCTCCTGGTTCTCTGTTTTCATCTTTTTCTGGTTGGTGGGTGCTGCAGCCCATGAAGCAGCATTTTCGATGGACTGTAGCTTGGCTTTGGCTTGTTTGGAGTTTTACGCCCAGATGGTATTGTTTATTAGGAGTCAGGACAGTGGCTATTGTAGTGACCAAACTGATCCATGACTCTAATATATAGACTATTTCGGTTTGTTCTGTTTTGCAGGCCGTGTGGCTTTCTTTTTATTTTTCCCAGTGTTGAGGAAGCGTCAGAGTAGCGGTCTTGTGTTGGTCTTGTGTTGTCCAAATCTGTATCTCGAGTCTAGACCACATTCCCAATGCCTGCACCTAATCTGTGTAATGGTCCCAGCATGTTTTCAGGGTGGATTTGTTGAGGAATGCCCAGCCTCTCTTTTCTGTGGCATTAATATGAGCTAAGTTTCTTGTTAAAAAAAAGAAGAAACAAAACTGTGCAGTGCCCGTCAATCGTGGGGGGAATCTTGTGCATGTCAACTTCTTGGCGAAACCAAAAAGAAAACGAATGTTTTGCCTGTGTATTTTTCATTCCAGAATCCTTTGCTCTCTTGAAACAGACACACCCACACACCCCTCTGACGAGTCAGAAACAGTATGGCACAGTCACGTTTCTTTTGTGGAGTTGTACATGGCGAAGATGAGAACACACACGCACACACACACACACACACACACACACACACACACACACACGCACACACACACACGGACACACACACGCACACACACACGCACACACACATGCACACACACACGCACACGGACACGCACACACAAACACACACATACAACACTGACGCATATAGTCAGCTTCGACATGCACGTACGCACACAGACAAACATAAGCGCACACACACACTCATCCACATTGTTTCTGTATCTGCTCGTCACTGTCTGAATCTGTAAGCCACTTACATGCCGAGGTAGGTATGTAACAATCCACAAAAACGTCTATGTATATTTTAGACCACGTATGGACTTTGTATAGGCTATGTATAGAGTATGTATAGAGTATGTGTGTTTATGCATAGACTACATATAGACTACGTAATATAAACTATGAGCAGACTAAGACATACGCATAGGCTATGTACAGAGTATGTGTGTTTATGCATAGCCTATGTAATATAGACTATGAGCAGACTAAGACATACGCATAGACTCTGTATACTGCGTATAGAGTCTATAGACTATGCATTGGACTACGTATAGACTATGAACAGACTCAGACATATGTACGCATAGGCTATGTACAGAGT